TCATCCTGTACTGCCTGAATGCACACTTTGCAGTATTCTCATAATAACCTTATTATTATACAGAATAAGACAAAGTATACACATGATTTGTAGTTGAGGTTCATGTATTCCTGTACTGCCTGAATGCATACTTTGTAGTATTCTCATGATAACCTTATTATTATACAGAATAAGACAAAGTATGCACATGATTTGTAGTTGAGGTTCATGTATTCCTGTACTGCCTGAATGCATATTTTGCAGTATTCTCATGATAACCTTATTATTATACAGAATAAGACAAAGTAAGCACATGATTTGTAGTGGAGGTTGATGTATTCCTGTATTGCCTGAGTGCATACTTTGCAGTATTCTCATAATAACCTTATTATTATACAGAATAAGACAAAGTATGCACATGATTTGTAGTGGAGGTTGATGGATTCCTGTACTGCCTGAAGGCATATTTTGCTGTATTCTCATAATAACCTTATTACATATTTTGGTGCTTGTAGTAATAATTTAATGATAGTTAACAGCGGCAACAAAGAACGTCTTCACACTTTGCGATTGTTTGCATTCAGTGACAAGATTCTTATTTCATTGTGCACTGATAGGACTCCAATGTCTGAAGTAAACAAAAGAAAATTTTCAAATGTGTCGTGAACTGACGTACAATTTCCAAAAAAGGATGACATTCAAAAGCTTCAATAACAGTTTTGAACATGTCGCTATAACTTTTTACGAATGGGTAAATTTTATTGTTATTGATGTCAAATAATAATACAATGTATAAAAAAAATCAGTATTACATATTTGCATGATTTTTTTTTCAGACTTATAAACAACAGTAATTATGCATGGAGGGCATTGAGGCTGCTTGCTAAGAAAAGTCCACATTTCTTTCAACCCAGTACACAGCCTTGTAAATCCATACCACTTTATCTAGAGAATATGATAACTAAACTAGCCAAGGAAATGCCGGTATGTATTCATAAATACTTGAAACAAATGGTATTTGTTGGTTCACATTTACTTCTGATTAGGGTTATGGTAATGGTAAATGATGTCTGTTTTAATATCTTTATTATTATTATTATTATTATTTTTATTATTTTTATTATGTGTTTATTTAAGATCATAAAAAATCCATAGCCACAAAATTCAAGTCAAAAAATTCTCTTCTCCCATAATTTCCATATCTCACTCTGGGAACGAATTGAAATGTACAATGTTGTTGTTACAAGGGGGTTAGATGAAAGGTGCAGTCTTTTTCCGAAGAATTTCATCAAAGAATCTAATATAAAGATTAACAAACAATGCCCTATTACTCTTGTGCAACAGAATGTGAATACCCAGATAATTTACAAAATACGTGCGAGTGTGCTTTATGGGCAAATTGCAAGTATATAATGAATTTCTTCGTAGCAAATGTACCAGGGCTGAGTAACCATCATTAAGGAGAGTTATAGCAATATTTGGGCACCTGTGTACATCACAATCGCATCACATTATTGAATGAATCCATGCAAGTGGTTTTAGCCTTTGCATTGAGTCTGGTACATACTTACCCAAGGTACAGTAGCTTTATTCACCCAGAGTGAGGGTCAACCATGTTTTCATACTCAATGTGCTTGTAGAATGGACCCAGTTGATGATGGGTCCAGCAGAACAACTACATTGCTTCTGCTAGTCACTAATATACAACTCTTCAACACCACTACAATTATACTTGCAATCTGTAAACTCTCTTATCTCATTATTTTCATAGGCACCAGCTGAAGAAATTAAAACAGAGGACGAAAATGCAGAAACTGATGAGTTTTTGAAAACCTCTGATGATGTGGAAAGTGAGTACCGATAGTTCAGAAAGTTTTTTTAAACATAAATAGCTTGTGTGTTGTCAGAAGATGAACCTGAATAATAAAGAAAATGATTTGCTTTGTCATGGAATGTGAGATTGAAATAGTTTTACCCTTGGAATGCCTACTTTTTCCACAAGACAATAACTGACTGATTTTCAGTGAATCGATCTTGTCTGCACATTTTAACATCTTGTTAAGGTCTGACTTATGTGAGCAATAGAATAAAACAACATTATGCTAGTCAATCAGATAATTTGAATTAATGATAGCAAATTATCCTATATATTTAGACATGCTAATCATTATCCATGCAATTATCAAGACATGCTAACCATTAACCATGCAACATGACATGCTAACCATTAACCATGTAATTAACATGACATGCAAACCATTATCCATGCAATTATCAAACCATGTTAACCATGCAACATGACATGCTAACCATTAACCATGCAACATGACATGCTAACCATTAACCATGCAACATGACATGCTAACCATTAACCATGCAATTAACATGACATGCAAACCATTATCCATGCAACATGACATGCTAATCATTAACCATGCAATTGACATGACATGCTAACCATTAACCATGTAATTAACATGACATGCAAACCATTATCCATGCAATTATCAAACCATGTTAACCATGCAACATGACATGCTAACCATTAACCATGCAACATGACATGCTAACCATTAACCATGTAATTAACATGACATGCAAACCATTATCCATGCAATTATCAAACCATGTTAACCATGCAACATGACATGCTAACCATTAACCATGTAATTAACATGACATGCAAACCATTATCCATGCAATTATCAAACCATGTTAACCATGCAACATGACATGCTAACCATTAACCATGCAACATGACTTGCTAACCGTTAACCATGTAATTAACATGACATGCTAACCATTATCCATGCAATTATCAAGACATGCTAACCATTATCCATGCAATTATCAAGACATGCTAGCCATTAACCATGCAATTAACATTACATGCTAACCATTAACCATGCAATTAACATTACATGCTAACCATTGCCTGTGCAATTAGCTTGTACCTACAGAGACAAGATTCACATCCAAAAAGTAAAATTCATAAAAATTATTTTCATAGAATTGTTTTAAACCATATCTAAATATATAATTTATTTTTACACTATGATGTTATGTTAGATATAACCTTCATGTGACTGCTAAGTAATTAAAATAAATAAATTTAAGATTGAAATGAGTATTGTGAAGAAATTAAAAGGGTTTCCATGTTTTTTTTTTGAAAAATGTAAAATAGTCAGTAATTTTGGATAAATTTGTTTACTCTATATTTTTGTATTTTCACCAGAAAATTTGTTCTTTAGAATGTTTATGTTCATATATATTATAATTACAATCTCCAGAAAAAATTAATGATTGATCATTTGAGAATTAAAACAAAGATATAAACTAATATCAATAGATGAATAATGTTGTAGTAGCATTGATTTTTTGAATAGTCATAAAATCTTCTATGAACAATGTTTTGACATCTAGTAAATTGTAGAAGATTGGTAAGAATCTAAAGATGTATTGTAAAAGAAGATGTAAAACTTGACCATGTGATTTATTATTTAAAATACTTAAAAATGTGCAAATGTAATCATGACAACAATTCACGTTGTTAAATTTGACAAATGTTTTGAGCATTTTCCATTTATGATAGAGCTCCGAAATTTTTATAGAATAATCAGATTTACCTATAAACTTCATAAAATATAAAAAGTGCCAAAAAAACCTCTACAACATCTTTAATTATGTTTATTTCATCAGCTCCTGATCAATCCAGTATCTTGACGTTGGATCAACTTGAAAGTGTTGCTAACAAACTTGGTGATAACTGGAAGACGCTGGCTAATGAGCTGAATATGTCTGATGATGAGATCTCTGCATTGCAAACTGAACATCCTGAGGTCAAAGTTCAAGCCAAAGAGATGTTATTAACCTGGCAAATGAAAGAAGGCAACAGCGCTGTAAAACATGTATTACTAAGTGCTCTACAAGAAAGCGGACTTAAGGATATTGTGGAGTCTGTGTTTCCTGACAATGAACCAGGAGACACATAATTACATTTTATAGTTTCTATTTTAACATATTCACTGCCAGATAGTTTCACCCTAACATTGTTATGTCATTTCTTTCTCATCTTTTCTCATTTTCTATAAATTAATTATCATTTTGGAATACAGATATAATATTATTATTATGATTTTATGCTTTCATTCAGACATTGAAGAAATGGCAGTGAATTTGTTAATATGATAATCATATAAAAATATATCATGGTCAGTTAGATTAAATTCTTTTAGTACAGCTTTCTGAAGATCACTAAGCAGAGCTACTCAGATGGCTAGCCAGAATGGATTCCTATTCACCATGTAAATATATCTTTGATTATGTTCGTAAAAACATGTTTCTCTAGTGTTTATCATTAAATGTTCTATGTGCAGCACCAGACCAGTTTTGCCTTGTCTGTCATTCATTTC